TGAGCCTCAATCTTTACTATGTCAATGAAAGGAGAATTTTAGTTAATATCCTAACTGAAGCTGGTCTTCTATGTCTTAGTAATGCAATTCATCATTCCTTTAAGAAATAACTTATGTGAAATTATACTCTGACATCACAGGTAGTATTTATGGTGTTTTCTTCCAAAACATTGCCTGATTTTTATCTCAAAATATTATTGGAGTATTTAAGTTAGTTTTACAAAGTTAATAAATTCCATCATTATTAGTGGAATGTTGCTAGAAAGAAGTGATTGCGGAAAGAAAATATATCCTTTGGCAATTCATGGCATTTCATGTATTATTTTAAATTTATAAGTCTTTCAACCATATATGTGCATTTATATTCGCCAAAATAATATCTGCTTGGATTTCTTTTGTCATTTTTGTTTTTACTCTAGTTGTTTTGATTAGTTGTTTTAGTTGCTTTGGAATGTTCATCCATTTATAAGACATTTACATCACTCCAGGATTGCATGTATAATTAACTATTATTTTTCCAAAAAAACATGATTGACTGAAAATTTATACAGAATTTATTAAAATTCTGGCACTGCTCTTGTGGAATATTTATGTTAATCATTTTATTTTATTTATTATATTATATATTTTTTTTTATTTTCAGCTATGACCTTACAAGCCAGTCACTGTGTCTTTATACTCAAAGACAGAAAAAGGTACACAAACCTAAACTCAAGACTTGGGAAAGAAATAGGAATAAACAATTACATAATTTTACACAGAAATTTAGAAATCTAACCATATGCAGCATTTTAGCAGGACAGTCCTGTGATATATTTTTGTCTCTTGTTTTCATTTATTACCTTTTTTCTTTTAAAAAAATACAAACATTTATTTGAGAAACAAAATGGCAGTAATTGGTGTGACAGGACCAGTAGTATGTGTTTAGAAGACCAGAATGACGGGCATTCCAAGCATGACCCTAGTATTACACATTGCTATCTTCAGTGCAGTTGCTTAGTTCACAGTTCAATTAACTGCTAATTTCAAAAACCTACTGAAGAGTCTCAGGATCATTGCCTTACCCAGCTTGTGTATATAAATGTTTGGCTTTGCCACTGTCAGGGACTTAAAGTTTACCATATCAGTACTTGATGGAAAATACCTGCTCCATGTTATGTCTAAGATGTTTGATATACAGAAAGATAGTGATGTTAAGTTTAACTGCCTATGTTGTAGGGTAATAATAATAAGATTCTCTTCTGGAGGGTTAACAACCTAAATTTGCAGACCAAAAATTAGAGAAAAAGAAGGGCTACAAGGATAGCCAACATTTTGGCCCTAGCCTTTTAAGGTCAGTGAGGACTCAGGACATAGCAGAACCAGTACTGTAATATCATGTAACTCAGTTATGTCCCAAATTTTCTGATCAAGGAGATTATGGGGTCACAAAGGAAAGTGATCAATGATGTAGCGTGTGCCTAAGGAGAGTCACATGGAGAGAAGACATTCTCTCAGGCTTTCTCAGAGAGCAAATTGGTCAAGCAATGGCCATGACTCATCCACATGGCTGACACTGACAAAGGATCTACAAACTGCTGTACATGGTTTCAGGGTAAATTCTGAGGGGATTTGACTGACCTTGTCTCATACAAAAGTTACATGTCTTGTTATATAGGTCTTGCTTTATCTTATCCATCCAGCAGACAAGTATAAAAACGAAGTATAAAATGTAAAGCCATATTAATATGCTGAGCTGTAAAAAGCTCAAGTCAACAACTTCTGACATTGTCAGTCCTGTGGATAACCCACTACTATTATGGACTATTAGACTATATTGGAATATTTTGCTGAATTCCCCACACCTACAATATTTTAATGACAATTGAATACCCATCTCTGACAAATCTAAACAAAAAAGGGGGATACAATTTAAGAACCATTTTGTATCTGTGTATTCAAGATAATTAGGATAGATATACAGCTACTTTTTTAATTCAATGAATAGAAATATTTGTTCTAATAGTGTTTGTGGAGAGGATATCATGTCTGCTTCTTATACTATGAATAACCACTAAGAGGACAATAATATGCAATGTATTAATTATTGAAACTTTGCTAGTAATCAGTTTTGAAACTATCTCATTGCTATTTATTTCTCAATAAAATTATTAAAAAAGAAAAGTACAAACCAAAACAAATTACCTAGCAATTACCAATGAAGAATTGTAAGTTATACATCTAAGAAATAATAAAATAAAAATATTTCTGAAGGACATTTTCTTAAATTAATTTATACAGTTTAAAAAAATACCTGGGAAAGAAGTAGCTTTCTTCCTTCTATGGGTTTCCTTTTACTATTGAAATATTTTAGCTCAGCCTTCTGAGAATTTTCTCATATTCAGTATTGCATAGTCTAGCTAGCTAGCTATATTGTTTTCAATTGTCAAGCAGGTAACAAGCAATGAACAGGTATAAGTAGATCAGCTTCATGAAGATAGGATTTTTCCTCAGATTCACGCTATCTACAACAATAAAGATGATGTTTTCATGCTAAATATCATAGGCTTCCTGATTCTCCAAATCCTACCTCTCAAAAATTTACACACTCTACTTTCTCTGGAAGGTTTTCTTTTTTTTTTTTTTTTTAGTTTTTATCAGTTCTATGTTTAGATTAGATATTAACCTTTTTATTCTAAAGAGAATAAAAAAAAAGTAGAAACAATACAGAATTTCAAAAAATAAGATGACAGAAATCCAACCATGATTATTATATTGCATATTGTTGTCTTCCAAGTATTTGTTCATATCACCAGATAAAACCATGTAGAATGATGTTGGCTAAATATGATAATAGTGACAGGGAAGTACATAACTACCACCAATAGGAGTTTTCCTTCAAACTACAGCTACAACGCACTTCTCTTTCCAAATGCTCCCAGCCTGCATTCTGCTGAGGAGTAGGCCTGGGAGTCTGGGCAGGTCACTTGTCACACGTGGGAAGGAAGAGGAATGTTGGGCAGGGGGCTGGGAGACTTTCTGACAATTTTAACAGATCTCCAAGAATGCATCTACTCCCCTTTTTTCCCCCTTTGGTACCAGGAATCAAACTCAGAATCTTGTGCTTGCCAGGCAAATACTTAAGCCACTGAGCTATCTCCCCACCATAAATACATCTTTTTTTTTTTTTTTGCCCCAGACTCAGTTGCCCACTCCGCATACCCCAGGGGTGGGGGCCAGTGTGTCATGCCAGATTGGGGATCGAACCCTGGTCCCTGCGCTTGCTAAACTAGGCACTTAATCTGCTGATCTATCTCCCTGGCCCTCGGATTCATCTATTCTTAAAATGATTGATACTTACCTATTTGTTTTCTCTTAAGATTTTAATTTAACTAAATGTAGAAGATAGTATTTTACACACTTCAACAAAAAACAGGGAGAAAAAAAATGCATGACTTTGTCTACTTTTCCCTCTCTCCTTATGTTACAATTGTCATACTGGGAAATTTTATATAGAAATGAATTCAGTAAAGAATGTATATATTTCTATAACTTTACTATTGGAAAGGAATTGAGTATATGTAGACGCTAATTAGCAACAGGGCAAGGAAGACAGTCATAAATTGAACCCAGACATTCATCTAGAATGTGAGACCATTGCACTTCAGGCATCTCTTACGGTACACAGGAACAGAACACTGGAATACAGAGATGAAATTCTTAAAGAGACTTGCAAAGAAAGCATCAGAAATTTGAGCTGAGAAGACGACAAACAGATTGAATCAAAATGGTGTCAGTACCAATTCATAAATAAAACATGAGAAGCAAAAATGAAGATTGTCTTTTTTACAACTGTTTCCTGCCAAGTATCAGAAGAAATCTCAGACTACGGTTAAATCTGAATTAGCAACAAAATAGCAATTGGTAAGAAGATAGCGAAAAGTACAGAGCAAATGAGGACATACATTGTCTCTTTGACTGGAACAGTTTATGTTTCTCTTGATGTCTGATATTATCTTTGATCCTCACATATGCTACTTATTTCTGAAACCACATTATCAAAATCATGCAGCTTTAAAGCAAAAGTCTTTCTGCCTCCATAATTATTTAGTATAGATTGGAATTTGGTAAAAAAGTTTTTGATGATTTTACTTGCAAAGAACCCTGAAGGTTTTACTTATCCTACTATGAATAAATATAAATATAAATTAGTTCTATACTTGGCTGTAAGTATGGAAAAGTAGTGCCATATGTAAATATGGATATGTACTGTAAGATTCATGATTTTGGATGTAATAATGTGAACGTTCATTTTTGTCACTCGGGCATTCATTCTCTTGGTCCATTTCTTACTGGACCTCTGGAAGAACTTGGGCCCAAAAAGACAGTCTTAGTGATAACAAAACTGAATGTTGTCTATGGAAAAAGCTAGGGTGCTAAGGTAAAAAGAATCTTGTAAGACAAAATATTTTGACAAATGAAGGGCCGGGGAGATAGCTTGGTAGAATAAGTGCCTGCCTGGCAAGCTCAGGGTCCTGAGTTCAATTCCTGGTACCACAAAAAACAAAAAAACAACAAATGAGATATTTCATGTATTTAAAAAATAAACTACCATCTTTGTCTAGAAAATAAAATTGATAAAGGTAATGATGATCTTTGGAAATTTAACACAGGACACAGTTTGGGTACTTATTTTTTTCGCATGCATATTGACCTATAAACTTTTCAATAATTTCTTTTTTAAAAATCTTAAAATATATAAGGTCTAAGTTAGTTAGCTCAACTAACTAATATATTCTTCCTCACTGCTACATTTCACTATGTGGTTGCTACCATAAAGTAGTAAATTAGGCCCTAACCATTGGGTGAGATGAGGTGTTTTCAATTGGAAAAGATACACTATCTTAGCTAATGTGCTTGATAGTGAATCTGGATAAAAGCATTGCATTGTTGCCTTGTCTCTTGAGCTTGGAAAGCACAGGATTTATGACACAAGTGTTGTATTGTTCCCCCCACCCCAGGAGTTATCAGAACTGCTTTGCCAAACATGGACAGAGAAGTCAAAGAACAATACCAAGTGCTCATCCAAGCCAAGGACATGGGCGGACAACTGGGAGGATTAGCTGGGACAACGGTTGTCAACATCACCCTCACTGATGTCAACGATAATCCACCTCGATTCCCCAAAAGTAGGTTGTATCCTGAGTAGAGAATTTGAAGCTATTGTTTACAATGCCATTGGATGTTATATAAAGTGAAATAGCCTCCCAGATAGTTTTGTTCTTTAGAAAGCACTAGCTAATGGATAAAGACGACATATTTTTAAAATTTAAATTTTCAGCAGAAGCATGTTTAATATTATTTTTTGTCTCAAACAGAAATCACTGACCATTAGTCATGTGCTACTAATTTCTCTTAAGCTGAAATATTTGCAATATGTGGGATCTGACTCTGATAACTTACTAAGATAAAAATTTACATTTAAACATGCTAGGTATGATGTAAGACATCAGATTTATAATACATATGCCATTATCCTATTGCGTATCATATGATTTGAGAATTCTCTACATTTTTTAACAAGTGTATGTGGCAAACCATTTCCATATATCAGGTAATATTGATTTTATTTCCAGTACTTTAATTCTGACTAGTTATTTCATTTTAGTTTTGCAATAGGTGAAAATTGCTACAGTTTCTATGATAATAGAACGATTCACACCTGTGTCCTCTCTCCAACTCTGTGCTTCCTACCGAAAATGAGGACTTCTCACTTGGGTTTCATCTAGTTTTCTTTCCCAGTATTGCATCTAACACCAATCAGTGTCTATTCACTTCCTGGTGCATTTTCAAGGACTCTTTCTGGGTTTCTAATTTTATAATGCGGAAGCTGAATAGTTCTATTACTGCTTTTATAAATAGCTTGATTTAATTACTAGGTTATTATTTGCCTGAGCAATTAAAAACATGTTTCCCCTCTCCCACTCCAAAATGAGATGTTATGAGTCCATGGAGTAAAATCCATAGCACTGAGAATATTTGGCTAAATGGATATTTTATCTCTGAGACTATATTTGTACACAGTATAGTACTTTGCCTATTTTCTAAATATCATCATCTGATATATTCTTATGGAGTTTTATTCTTATTGATTAGAAAGTTATGATAGGCAACTATGAATTATCATTAATTTTTACAATAGTCACCTGAGTATACCTATTATAAATTGTCATCTTGTATCCTATAAAGGTATAGAACTTAACCTTTGTTCATTAAAAATGAGCTCATTAAAGAAAAAGAAGTCATACTTTATAATATGACATATGCATCACAAGTACCTATACTATAATATATTTAATTGATATCACAGAGCAAAATTTTCCCTTCCATTAAGGAACAAATTAAAAAGAAAATAAATGCTCATAATTCTGTAACATATGGACTTATTAAGGAATATGATTCTAACTTCACCTTTCAACTATAGTCTTTCTCCTTTTTTCCTCCCAGCCCCTTTCCCTTCCTAACCCATCTTTCCTTCTTTTCCATGTAAGCTTAGTAAACTGAGGTTGAGCAGGACAGATTAGGAGGATAGCTTGCTTGTACATAAAAGATGGCACTGGGATCTTGGACCTGGGATTTTCACACATAAAGCCTGCTGAAGCTATAGTCTACAGAACATCAAATATATTCTGAGATAATAAAAATATTCCCACTTACATGACTCAACATGTGAGAGTTGGGGTTTTCATGGTGGGGTTTTCATGGCAGGATACAAAGACACAAGAGGTGAGGGGGTATGGTCATAAGGAATGTGATTGAGCTGTAGTTTGCAGACAACTAGGGAATAATTCAGGGGAATAGAATGGCACGCAGTGACATGATGAAGCCTAGGTACAGGAGAAGCTACACATTCATAGAGAAGAACTTTGTGTGTTCATGCCTCCCTGCGCCCTGAAGATTACTTTTAGTTCTTACTAAGTAAATAAAAATTTTGGATAGAGTACTGCAGTAGACCTCTTTAGTATTTGTTTTAGTATTAACTTGTAAGTCTAACTATTACTGGAAAATCCATTAAGAAAATGTGTAAGGGATTTAAAAAGTCAACTTTCAAAGCATTTAATACAGTTTCAGGAACTTTGTCATTACTACCCTTTTTTTCTTACATCACTGAAATCATTTTTTCAGGTCATATTTTTATTAGTATGTGTTTATATTACATGATGTCTATAGTCCCTGCAGAGAGTTGTTACAGGCACACAGCACAGCTTAATTCCTCTTGTCCCTGTTTCCTCGGCTCCCTGCCCTTCCCCTAACTCTTGCCCTCCCTCTTGTTGGTCCATTTTCAGGGCCTATTTGTGTCTGCGAGGACTGGGTACTGGCATATTACACAGCGCAATTCCTCATTCCTTTCCTCCCCTGATGTCTCCGTTTCTGGACCCCTTTCCCCTGTAAAAAAGCTCTGTCTCCTGACAGCCTGTGATCTCACTTTTATTTTGCTCTTCATCTATACTTGGGTCTCTCACATAAGAAAATCCACCTGCTATTTAAACTGGTGTGCCTGTGTAAAATTGCTTAAGATTATGATCTCAAGCTGGATCTCTTTTCCTGAAAGTGACACAGGCTTCCCTTTGTTTATGACAGAACAGGACTATCTTAACTATCTTACGTATAGACATCAGATTTTCTTTATTCATTCACCTGCTGATGGACACATGGGCTGTGTCCTGACCCAGCTGTTATGGACTGTGCTGCGCTAAACATGAGCATGCATGCATGTGTTATTGTAATATGGTGTAGACAGGTCAGCATCTGGCTGGAAAAAGCTGGATCCGATGGAATTTCTAGTTTCAGATTTCCTTTTAGGAATACATATGTTAATTTTCTTTGGGACTTTGTTTTTCTATTTCAGGATTTGAGCCTGACAAGGATCATTCCCAATCCCTCTTGGTGATATGCAATGGTGAAACCATCATGGGGAGTATTCGTAAATGTTTTGCTTTTGTTTCTTCTCTATTTTGTACATTCCAGGATGACCTCCCCATGTAGACATTCCTGAGACTGCAGAAGAAATCCTTTTCTCCCTGAAGTCTCTCCAGCATTTGTCTTTATCTCATTTCTCGATGATGTCCATTCTTCCTGGGATAAGATGGCCTTTCAGTGCTACTTTAATTTGCATTTCTCTGAGGCCCTGCGATTTTGAGCATTGGGTCATGAATTACAAGTCACTGTGCATCTAAGTGACTCATCCTTTCATCCCAGTTTCCCATTTTTGGATTGAATCTTTTATTTTGGAGCATTGAATTTCTTTCAGTTCTTGCTGTGGTTTGGAATTTGTCCCATCTGAGGAACAGCTGGCTAAGGTTTTCCCAGTATGTGGCTGTGTTTGCACCCTGTTGTTTTTCTCTTTCTCTGTGCAGAGGTTGTGAGTTTGCTATGATCCTATTTGTTGCTTTTTGGTGCTATTTCCTGTTCAACCAGTATTCTTTTCAGAAAGTCCTTTCCTGCTGTTACCATTCTACACATTTTTAAGACTACTGAACCTTATAGAAAATAAATATCTGAGCAAGTTCAATGATAGTAAGTTACAGGCTTTTAAACTCTGAAATCCAATGTCCTTTTAATTTATCATAATATTTAAATAAAATGTTATTATTCTCTTTTATTTCTATCTTAGTTACTTGTGTTTTGTTGCTAGGATAAAATACCTGATAACCAAACTTAAGGAAGGAAAAGTTTATTTAGCTCACAGTTTGTGGAGGTTTCAGTCTCTACCCTGTTGGAACTAAGGCAAGGTAACATATGACAGAGGGCAGCAGTTCAGTGCAGTAGAATGCAGGAAAAAGCAGCAAAAACAAAAGGGGAGGAGAGAAATCCTTTCTTTCCTTTATATTGTAAAGATGCTTCCTACTCCAACACTTATACCTTCTCTGTGGCTGCCTCTTGCATGGTCTCGGGATGTTTAAAAAGTGAAGCCCTTCCCCTGATGAGTCACTTAGTTAAATTTTTAAGCATTTCAAGTGGTCACAATATAACAACCATTTCAGACAACTGTAAAACCATATAATTCAGACCACATCTGCAAATCCTGACATAAGTTGAACTGCTGGCACAGTGAAACAGAAAAATAAGAGGACAAAAGGGATTATGAAATAAATTACTGTAATTAAATTATTTCCTGTTTATATTACATGCACATTTGAACTATAGTCTGAAATCATAATAGTTGAGAAATATTGTGGAATCATACGAGCAAACAAGCTGTCCTGGTTTTTCAGAGATAAACTTAATTGCTTTGAGATTTTACGTGTCTTTGTGTCAAGCCCGTTTTACTGTACTGTCATTCTGAATTGCATCCTTCAGAGAAAAAGGCAGAGCATATTTATAAACAGCAAAACCACCATAAACAGAAGAGCCAAGGTTCTTTTTGCAGGAACATTTCTCATATGAAGTAATTAAACAGCAAATGTGACAAAATTACAAACTGAAATAATATCCATTTGGATGTTAATGTCAAGAAAACATGTACCTCACGCACAAACAACTCAGAAGAGAATTTCCCACAGCCAGCTATATGTGCTCGGCACTGTAGTAGTTATGCTAAAAGTAAGTCTTTCTTCAGATGTGCTGTAAGGCACACCCATTTAGTGCTTAAACATATTCAAGATAGTTGTTCAAGATTGACTGATCACAAAGTGGTTTGGCTTCCATTGTGCTTATAACGCTGTGTGTTTAATGGATGCATGGGCATTTGGAAGGACACGATTCTGTATGTTTTATTCTGTAAATGTGACGGAGAAAAATGAAAAGAATTTGTATTCATAATATGTATGTCTAAATAGATTGCTATATGATTGTAGCTTTCAAATAAATATAAAAGTTATATAAGTCCAATGGAAACTACTTTTCAGATAAAACACTTTATCTTTCCAAGACTCTAAGTAGAGCTCTTATATTATTCTGTGCATTATTTGCACTTTTTAAAAATGCATTTAGTGCGAGGTCTACAGGGTCTCACTACAAACATCAGACTCGCAGTGATCCTCCTGATTTCAGCCTCCCAAGCGCTGCTATTACATGCATGTGCTATCATGCCCAGTCTTAATCCATCTCAGTGTTCCCTGGGGGTGGGGCTGGCATGACTTGTGGTGCCAGGGATCGAACCCCGGCCCCTGAGCTCTGCCTGCTGAGCTATCTGGCTGGCCCTTTATTTTCATATTTGAAATGATACTTCTGGTGTTATTTTGGAAGTTTTCTTTGAGACAAACATGAGCATCAAAGGAACATTAACATTTAAAAGAGAGACTGATAGAGAACTAAGGTCATTATTTGGTGGCACTGGGGTGGGAACCCAGGACCTTCACAGTGATCTGCATCCAGAGACCTTGTGTTTTCTTTTTCTTTTTTTTTTTAAATATTTATTTATTTATGTCATTTATTGTGTGTGTGTGTGTGTGTGTGTGTGTGTGTGGCCAGCTCAGCCCACCAGGGGGCGGGGCTGGCTGGCATGTGGTGCTGGGGGATTGAACCGCGGTCCCTGATGCCTTGCCAAGCTTGTTTCAAGTAGGTGCTTTAGACCACTGAGCCATCTCTCCAGCCCCAGACCTTGTGTTTTCTATTTTTGATTTTGTGATAAGTTCTGCCCGTGGGTCTAGTGCTGCCCTTGCCCCGCTCTTGTGGAAGCCTCCTAGCACACTGGGATTACAGGCCTGGGCTTCTGTCCTATAAAAAGATACTTCTGTGCCAGTGAGATAGCTCCATGGAGTAAGTTCCTGCTTTGGCAAGCGCAGGGACCAGGCTTTGATCCCTGGCACCAGGGGTGTTGAGCCAGCCACTGAGACCTGGTGTGGTGGCGAATGCTTACAACCCCAGCACTGGGAAGGCTGAAACAGAACGATCACAAGTTTGAGCTGCATAGTGAGATCCGGCACCAAATACATTAAATAAATAAATAAATGGCATTAGTTTACATGATGTTGAGGACAATAAGCTTGACAGCAACCAGCAAACCACCGCGCGTTACACACTGGGGCAAAGCAATTTCTATGCATCTTCTTACTGAACTCCTTTAAGGACTGTGTTATTTAGGAAAATAAAAAGCAAAGCAGTATTGTTTTAAAACAGTCACAAAATGTGAGCATGAACTTTCAATTTTCCGAGGCCTAGAAGCCCAGGCCTGAAAACCCAGCACTCCGGGAGGCTTCTACGAGAGCTGGCTGCACCAGACATACATGCAGACCTTATTGCTAAATCAAACATAGAAAACCCGGGGTCTCCAGATGCTGGTCTCCGTGAAGGTCCTGGGTTCTCACTCCAGTGCCACCAAACAGTGACCTTAGTTTTCTATCAGTCTCTCTCTTAAATGCTAGCATTCCTTTGATACCCATGTTTGTCTCAAAGAAAACTTTCAAAATTACACCAAAGGTATCATTTCAAATATGGAAATAATGCACAGAATAATACAAAAGCTCTACCTGGAGTTCTGGAAAGATCAAGTGTTTTATCTGAAAAGTAGCTTCTATAGGACTTATATTACTTTTATCTACCTCAGTCAAAGATATTTTTAGAGCTTCTCCATCTGTTAATAAGCTACAGGAAAATATCAATGGTTTCCATTACTTGAATTTGAAATGACAAAACCATCTAATAAGCTGACCTAAATTATGCATTATGAAATTAAATCAATTAAGTGATGAGGCTGATGTACACACACAGACCCACACATGCATGAATCTTCTTTAAGTGGTACTAAAGTACTTGGCTACTTTCTTGTTTCTGGGCACTGTGCGGAAGAGAACTAGAGCCTGGATCGAGATTCTTCCTTTTTTTTTTTCTCTCTCATGCAGGGGCTCATTATGCAGCTCAGGCTTATAGTGTTTCTCCTGTCTTTAGCCTCCCCAGCATTGGGATTAGAGGCACACGCTGCCACGCCCAGACTCAGTCACTGGGTCAGTGTGCCTGGGGGCAGGACTGGCTTGGCATGTGGTGCAGGGATCGAACCCAGGTCCCTGCCCTTGCTTAATCAGGCGCTTAGTCCACTGAGCTATCTTGCCAGCCCTGGATCATGCTTCTTTTGTGGATAGCAGAATCTCAGAGCTAAACATATGTCCTATCTGTCCTTACTTCACAGCTTTTTTTTTTTTTTTTGCGGAACCAGGGATTGAACTCAGGCCCTTGCGCTTGCCAGGGAAGCGTTTATTCCACTGTGCCATCTCCCTGGTGCCCTTCACAGCTTTGACTAATGGTATTCTGATTTCATTACAAAATTGCATGGCTAAAACAAAGCTATCAGATTAATCTTGTCTATGAAGTTTCGCTCTGCTTGATAAGTACCACGTTGTGACCACCAAAGCTTCACAGGCGAGTAAAAGAGAGATCCTTTCTCCTACAGAGTTTAGTTGCCTCTTTATTCTTCCTATGTATTGTCAAGACTACACTTACCTTTTCCTATCAAACGCTAAGGTAGTAACCATTTTCCTACTATCCACTTCTGGGAGATTAAGATTTTTAGATATATCAAATGAGTAAATCACATGCTCTCTGTGTATGACTGGTTTCTCTTAACATAATGTCCCTAATGAAAGCCACCTGTCTATCAACTGTTGAGTGGATGAAAAAAAAAGGATATTATTTATGCATAGAAAGAAATAAATCTTGCCATTCACAACACAGATAGAAATGTAGAACTGTACCACTATTTAATTATTTGTTTTTCACACTTGGACAGAATTTTCTGGTGGATTTTATTTTTTCCCTAGTTTTAATGCTTTCAAATTGTATTAACATCTGAGGTAAATATCCCTGTAAGCTCACATAATTAGACATGCATGTACAGATAAAAGCCTGGAGCACATATATTCATTTTTATGTATTTAGTACAGGGTCTACAGGGTCTCATGGCAGAGATTGGACTCAGAGTGACTCTCCTGTTTTCAGCCTCCCGAGCACCAGGATTACGGGCCTGCGCCACCATACCCACTCTTAATC